CAGCTGAGCTCCGCTCTAATTATTTGTTGGTGACGAGAACACAGTGAGAGGCTAATGAACAAATCTAATGATGCTCTTTTTTTTTTTTTTGCTCCTGGTCTCAGTCAAGTTAATGGAACAATCTGCCTGAAGAGAAAGCATCAAGCTTCATCTTAAATCCTCCTGAGGAGTCTCTCAACAACACTTCAAAAACATTAGTATGTCTTATTACAGATGTCAAAACGATACAACTGTCAGAATAACCCAAATACTTAAAGGGAAAACAAAAAAGCTCAGATTAATGGAAACCGACCATTTTAACCAGCATGACCAACACCTTGATGTTCAGGTCTGTGTGTGGCTTGAAGCAGATCAAAGAAAGGTCAGTGTGGCTTTCAGAGTATCATCAGTGGAGAGCGGATCCACCACATAAAAGCATTCTGTGCATAGGGGGCCATAAAGTCCACAAAGTACCTTCCTGTCTTCTCCTTCAGTATTTCAGAATGTTACAGGCAGATGCCCTCAATATTTCCATTTATTAATAAAGTTGGAGAAAAAGTCAATTATTTAACTTTTGTAGACTGACCTTAATCAATCAATCAACAATCAATCATTTGGATGGCTCTAAAAATGTCAGGATGAACTTAAGAATAGACTCCCCCAATTTCACCCTTTTTATTTATGCCTCACTTCTGAGAGCAGATCAAACATTTGAAGCAATAGCTGATTTTCGAATCATGTAAAACAATACACTTAAAGACAATTCACTTGATATATTATTAACATGACAATCCTCTGAAAACACATGTAAGATGATTCCACTGGCTTAGACACTGTTGTGTTTAAACGCCATTTTCCAGCCAAGTTCCATTCAAAGAGTTATCCTAAATTAAGGTAACCAGACGTCCTCAATTTTCAGGGACAGTCCCCGTATTGGATGACCTGCCCCAAAAGCCAAAGCTGTCCTCGGATATGTCCCCTATTTAAGCGTTGTTGCATGTAGACTAGAACAAGGGTTGTTACGGTAGCCGAGTAGGTAGGAAGCACGAGTAAGCATGTTGTGCGCAGTCCTGAACAACAGTTTTTAAAGGGGGTGTGCACCACTACTAAATAGTACCAAGATATTGTCTGTGATCACGCAGCCTCCCACCCCCACTCTGGATGTCCCCAGACTTCACAACAGAAATCTGGTCACCTTATCTTGAATCAGCCTTCGCTTATGAGGACTGAGAAAAGTCACTCTCACTAGGTGGTTGTTCAGTGCAGGAGAATTTTGGTTTTGGTTTTTGTACTTCACAAAATTATCTTACATTAACTACACACATTCCACAAGCTTCTTTTCTTTGACGATCACTGTAGCTTCATGAAGTGGTGAGCAAGGGAGCAATTCAACATAGAATCTGATCACAAGATATTGATAAAATCCAAATTTTTCATTACCTGTACCTGAGGCTATAATGGAACGATAATGGAAAAAGTTGACAATGAATTCCATTGTTGACTATTGTCGCCAGACACGTTTTTTCCGGTGAAGTGAGGCATCTTACTTCATTACGATCTCTGCCTAGAGTCACGCGTGCGCAATAGCGTCTCCACCGAGTGGTAGGGTATTCAAACATGGTGGTGCCGGCGTCCCATACAGCAGCTACGAGAATGCGCTTAAAAACCTCGAAAGTTTGGGAGCACTTTAGCTTTAGCACTAGAAAAAAAAAAAAAACTTGCACGGTTTGCAAAGCAGACCTTGCGTATCATAGCAGCACGTTGGTGATGCACAAACATTTGAGGAGAAGGCAGAGCGGAATGTTGAATGAAAAGTTAGACTCGCCTCGGTAAGACATTAGCTTCATAACGAGCAGACTGAGACATCACAACAAAACGTATTCATAAGTTTTAGTCGACTAATTGTTTCAAGAGTTGCTGACTAAGCGACTATTTAAATAGTCATTAGTTGCAGCCCTACCTGTACCCATAGCTCATTCAATACACGTCTATCTAACTAAGTGTCTCTTGAGGGGAAGGATTTAAAGTTTTAGGAATGTAGTGTCAAGTCAGTTCGAGTTTTAATGTGAAAATCACCAGGTCAGACAGGAAGAGGTTGGGCTGTAACAGTCCTAAAACGGTGGTGTACCCACATTAAACATTAAAGGAGTGAGGAAGAAACCAGTGGGCCCGTTAATGGAGCTTAATGTTCTAACATTCAGGGTCAGCTCACCATTTCTTTGCTGCAGAGGAGACCAAAACTCGAACTTCCAGCCTTATCTGTGTAAAACAACAAGACAGTTTATATATCCTTTTTTGTTTAAGGGATGTTTCATGTAAGAAAATCATGACTTCAACTTCCACCTTTTTTAAATAAGCTTCATGTTCCTTCTCTGTGTGACTCCAAACTAGGATACAGTGGAGCTACTTAAGCCCTGCTGATGTTATGTAACCTTGTTTGCTTCATCTGCCAGTGTGACTGAAAAAAAAAGTTGCTATCAAGCTGTCATGCTGCTTCGTCCTCAGATGCACCTTTCTCTCCTCACACTCTGTCTCAAAAACAAGTTTATTTGAACTAAGTCCTGGTCGTGTCTCAAGTATTTAGATGGAAAAATTAAGACTTGGCTTAGTATGAATGGCAGCAGTGCACAAAGGTCTGATGATTACATTCCTGTCTGTTAAGTGAACTACAGTAATTCCTTTATAACACTGATCCAAGGTGTTGTGTACTCTCTGTGAACTTTCTCTCTTTCACTTAAGCTTTGTTCAACACATTTTTTTCCTTTAAATAAATCAGCACTGAGTTACCTACAAACCTTTTTGGCCAAAGTCAGATTTAAAACTCAATTCCAGCCTCAGCAAATGAGAATTGTTCAAATGACGCCCAGCCCAACAAAAACTGCCATTGTTGACTTTATTGTCTGTTAAGATTCATCAAAAATTCATGCATTATCTCCTCTTCCATCATAACATTCATATCCTCTAGGCTGACATCTGTGTATCTCCTTATGACAATGAACACAGTAACATTAAATATACATCCTCAGTTACTTTCTTCTTCATGTCTACTTCAGTCAATTTGTTATACTGGTTGACAAGTAAGAGGCAGAATTGATTTTTATTTAGAAAAATCAATAAGGGATGCAGCATCTGTTATATGTCACTTTTATATCTATGCTGGGATATGTTTTTCAGGGCCACACTTGGATATCGGCATCCAGTTTCTAATGTTAGGAAAGCAAAACCAAACCACTCTGGGGTCATAGAAAATGGGTACATACATACTCCCACAGGACAGAGTAGTTCCCTCCAGACTGTTAGTATATCCATGGTCACATCTGTGCTTCCAAATCCACCTGACTCTCTACATATGTCTCACATTGGAAGATCACTATCACATGCCAACATTGGTTTTCAAATCTCTCCAACCACCCACATATAAAAAAAAGAGATATTCTATTATGTAAGAAGTCAATCAGTTCAAACAACTGTAGTTATTTTGATGACTTTGACATCTGTCAGTTTTCGTCTTAGACAAAAACACAAAGCTAGAGCTCTAAATGTAAATTTGTCTCCTAGAAAGTTATAATTGGTGAAAAAGTGCAGAAAAAGTAGGGTTGACATAGTTTCATTGCGTCAAAAAATTTTAATTTATGCATAAAAGTGAATCTCTTTTTCTTCCTGTTACTTTTGCAAATCCTCCAGATGCACTCGGACAGTAAGTTCTTAATTTGCAAAATGCTATTGTCAAGCCCCACCTGAAAGTGGCTGTATGGGACTAACAATTAGTCACACATTGACCCTTTAAAAGTGATAGAAAACACCTTCAAAAGTTAACCATTTGATTTACTATTAAAAAAAGACAAAGAATTAAATAATTAACTACGGAAGCCCTAAGTGGATAGGGTTTATTTTTTTTTTTACCCCCGTTTTTCTGTGATCTCTAGAAAACGAAGCCTTGTTTTCTGGAGATGAGTGTGTTGTCTCACATGCCACACTTCATCTGCACGTACCAAGAAGCACTGGAGCAACAGCCTAATACTTATGACTGAATAATTTTGGGGTGATTCGTTCCTGTAAAGTTCAGAGAGTGTGCATCTTACTCTGTGCATTTCATCCTGTAGCAGAAGGCAGACACTGCAGACACCGAACCACGTACAGTGATCGGCCCAATGTTGCTAGTCCACCACAAAATTAATTCGTGATCTTAAGAAAAAGAGGGTAAAAAAATAAATACATCTTGTGGGCTTCTGTAATGATCTAAGATCAAGTAAAGAACAAATCAAGAAGTAAACTAATACACAAAGAATTGGAAACAAAAGGATCCCCTGAATGAGAGCAGCACTTCCCCTCCAAATTCCTCTCCCCACTGTGTTTTAAACTCTCAGGACCAGGTGAATCCATGACTTCACCCGGGCAGAGCTGGGGACACAAACAACATAAAGCCGTAAAACTTTTCACACAGATCTTCTTGACACACTGCTTCAATAGTCTGTGAGACTCTTTTAGTACTGATCCAAATCTCCAAGACTGTTGAACACAGCTGCGTCATTTTGGCTCAAGATATTCTCAGTGTGCTTCCAAAAGCTGATTTTTTTTTTGTCATGGGGCGTGATCAGCACTGTTTGGGAAAGTTCAATTTTGACATGATATATTTCTGAGAAATTCAAACTGCTTAAGCTCAGCCCCACTTCAACATATATGTGCAAAATTCCTCATACTTATGCTCAAACACTATTACTATGACGCATGATATTCACTTTATAACAGGAACATATCAACCTTTCAGTTTTGATTGAATTTTAAGCCTTTTTATTCTGTGCTCAGCATCTGCAATTATTTCCACCCGCCTTTTGATTGATAGACGGTACAGGAAGAGATAAGATTAAATATACGGGAATAGAAAGTTCAGAAAAGGTGCTGCTGGAGAGCTGAGAATAAGCGTATGAGTGAAAGAAGGGCAAAAGGAGAAGCCGTCTGGGATTAATTAAAGTTGACTGGATGTTAATGACTTGTAAAAGCAGAGAACAGGGATTAATGACATGCTTTGTGTGTACCGGAGTGTGTGTGTGTTAGAGAGTGAGAGATCAGCTGGCTGAACTTGTTTAATCCACTCAGGTATTGTACGGAGAGACTCCACCATTCCCTCGATTATCTTCGCACACAGACAAAAGCAAGCTCGCCAGTATCCAGCTCCTACCCACACGAGAGAAAGCGTTCACGCCCGCTCGCGGCTCTGCCTGTAAGGAGACAGCAATCACAAACAGAGGACGGGATAATTAGATGGTAGGTGAAAGAATGAGAAGATATGAGACAGATGAAGACAAGATGACAGACAGTGAGAAAGAGATAGAGTTAATAGGATAAAGCTTAGCAGTGATCAGTGCTTGTGATGCTGGTTCGCTGATCTGCAACAAGGAATAAAAGTACAGAAATCATTTAAACTAAAAACTTGAGGGAAGTTTTTACCTCAAAGATACAGCACCTGAAAGAAGCGTCGTCTTTGCACCAGACAGGAACAGACTTCTTGAGTTAAAACTAAAATCGAATGAGCAGCATCTTCTTCTCAAAGGAGCATTCGCACTTCCTAAAAGCTTCTTTTTCAAATTTAGACAAGCAATGGATACCACTGTGCTGCCTTTGCATTGAGGGAAGTGCTTGAGTCTTGAGAAGATTAGCTTATGTTATGTGGCTTAGCTTGTGTTATGTGTCTGTTATTTATCCCGTTATGTTTCCCAAATGTCTCTCTCACTGCTTTTTAGATGCCGTGTAATGCTCTTGGATTTACCGTCTTGTCAGCAGGTGCTTTACAAATAGCTAAGCTGAGACAGCATTTCCACGGGCTCAAAAATGGAGAAAAACCTGTGAGCAGGATGAACCAGGGGCCATGCAAAACACAGAATCATATATTAGAGATAAATACAGATTAGATTGACCATGTTGTTCCGGGTTCAGTGGGACAGTGCTGGTGTCTTGTGTCCCTCACAAATGTCCCATTTTTGGACAACCTCATGTCCTGCTTTTGATCAATTGAAAGACCAAAATAAATAAACAATAAAAAAAAAGGTCAGGGGGTGAAACACAAAGCCAGATTTAAAGGGGAAATGGGATCTATAGCTTTGAAAGTTTAAGTTTTCTGTGTTGTGAAGCTAACTCGTAATTTGCTTGATCACCATATAAACTTAGTTGGCAAAGCTAAGTGGGTCAACACCAGAGTATGGTCATAGTCTCATTTTTCATAGGCTGAAAAGAGCCTTCAGTCATTTTTTCCACGGGCAGTTAAAGGTGGTGTAAGCAGGAAGCATCTTTTTTTGTGGTGTATATACAAAAAAGCTTTTAATATCGGTCAATAGTTATTAGTTATTGGTGACATTTGGTTCCGTTATGTCTGTGTAGTCAACATTTTACATTTTTTGAGTGGCACACTCTTTCTGACTGTAAACAAAGCCATTCTCCGCCTCCCCCAACTTGATTGGTTGTGAGATAGACTCTGCTCCCCCGTGTCATTCACGAGCCCAAGCAAAGTTAGCGTGCTACAATATCGGACTGTAGAAACCAACCAGACAGTAAAGGAAATTGTCTGAATCCTCCTTTGGCCACGACTGCAACACAAGCAAGAAAACAAAGTAAATACCAGAAACTCTGGCTGAATAACGGGCACTCGAAAGGAGGTAGACCACCCGGACAAGAGCTAAAAAGATGGAACAACATCAATGATTAAATGATAGGGGATGCTTCGGGATCTTACGAACCCTGTAACCTTTCTGCTGAACAGGTAAACCTGTGTGTCTGTTTCTTGTCAAAGAACTTTTAAAAAAGTTTTGGCACCTCACTGTTTCTACAGAAAATACCAAAATAAGCGATCAGAGCTGGACTCAACTGAAAACCTTTACCAAAATACTGAGGACCTTATTGAACCATGGGCTGTCTCGAGATATCTTTTGTTGTGATTTGACAACTGACTGAGTTAGGACTGAAACACTGAGTAAAATATCCCAACTGTCAGGGTCACAAAGTTAGAACTATGAATAACAACACCTAAAATTTCAAAGATGAGATTTTAGGGGTTGAAAAGAGAGATTGCCAGAGCAAGAGACCTTACCAGAAAGTAACACAAAGAGGAAAAGATTCCTAGTAAAATTAAACTGGATCCAAACATCCGCCCACCCACAGAAATTATGAATGACAAGTGAACAACACAAAGAGATGTACATGCATGTGTGAAAGGAAAGCAAAACTGGAAACAGCCAACAGGCATGACAAGGGATTGATGTATTCTGACCCTAGAAATGTGAAGAGAGGGAATCCCTTCCCAGTGGAATCACTTCAAACGAACAGATAATGAGAATGTGAATAACAAGTGCTGTTCACGGGGGCAGAAAGACTGATGGTACCTGGACCATACAGCGGAGATACACGTGTGTAGAAACAGGCAGCGATCGTCAGAAATCGTTTGATTGTGTTTGAGAAGCTGCTTTCAAAGGCTCGACTTCCAGGGTGAGACAGAGACGCAGCAAGAACAAAAGACGAGAGACTCAGGTATAGATGGTGTGAGAGAGATAATGGGACGGGAGGATGACAACAGGATGAGAAAAGGAAAAGAGTGAAAAGCACAGATTATAGATGTGTGGTTTTTCCTTCTTGTTGCCTTGAGAACATGTGGGGCTCAATCAGCAGTACAAAGTATAACAACCAATGTGATAAAAACTCCTATTAGTGTTTTTATAGAAATTGGTGTTAGTTCAGGCAGGCTACAAAGTCATCTTAATCATCTTAATACCGGCCCTATCATAGGATTTTGGGCCCAAAATAAACAAGTTCAATCTAGGGTAACCATATTCTGAATCCCCAAAAAGGGGACACCACCGCTGGGAGGAGTCACTATGTCGCGCACGGTAAATTTTGAGAGCTTTTCGGGTAGGGCCGAGTGTTTTTTACCCGCTTCTAACTCAGTAAGTCCATGCGACACAAACTCAAGACTTTCATATAAAACCCCTTACAGGGGTGGACAGGCCAGACAGCCCCCCAGAAAGAGGACATGTTCGGTTAAAAGAGGACGTTTGGTTATCCTATTTAATCATCCAGCTTGTGAACATGTCTGATGTCCTCAGGAGCCTGAACCACAGTTTGATTTTAACGATGCACTAAAGACCCCTGGGTTAATAACAACCCAACTTGGGGTATTTTTAACCCAACTACAGGGTTCAAAAGGGACTGACGACTTGTTGGGTTATTCAAATTAACCCAAGTTTTGGGTTGAATCAATAACCCACTTTAAGGGTCAAGTTAACCCAACCTTTAAGTTTATTCAACTCCTAATCTTGGGTTAAATTAAGTCTATGTGGAGCTGCGGTTTACCATCTACTTCTGTCTAAATAAGTGGTGGGATTTTCAATCACTAAATGCAAAATGCAGACGACGCAGAAGATTTGTCAGTGTCTCGGTCCACCAATCACGTGTCAGTGCTACATCAGCTGTTGTTAAGGTGGCTGCTCCGATGTTACAAGTTGCCTATGAAGGCTTTCTGTGCAGTTTAGGAGCTTCTACAGTCACAAAGCATTCACTTCTAGAGTCGGAGTCAGTGCTTCATTCAACCCTGCGCCGAGGCTACGCGGAGGGCTGCACGATGTAGGAAGAGGATAAACTGAGGGCCAATGTGCTCTAGATAGTAACGTCTGATCCAACTTTTTGACTCATGGTGCCATTATCAGACTTATGCACAATAGACAACATTTTGTCGTTTAAATCGCAGTATGTGTCTACCATGGGACTCAGTCATACATGCTACCAAAATCCATTTGAATTTGATTATTTTTATTTTTTTTTTTTGTGGCAAATATTGCAATACGGTTTAAATTCTTACCTAATTTCATGATTACTCTCAGAAAAATAACCCATAAATATTAACCAAGTTGGAAAAAAAACACAAATTGGGTTAAAATAAAATCCCTATAACCCAATAAATGTTTATGGCTCTGAAATATAACCCCGAAATATAACCCAACAGAAATAACCTGTGCTTTTGTTGTTGTTTTGAGAGAGAACTGAATGCAAATTCACCGCAAACACAGCTGTTATAATCATAAGCAGCTGATTTTGATCTCTCAGATTCATTTCAATTCCTCCTGTAGGTGGTCTGCATAAACAAATAAACATCCTCCCTTCCAATCAACTCCTGTTTTTCCTGTTACATGACACCAAATAGCTCATTGATGGTTCTCAGATGTCTTCAGAGTGAGTCACAGTCAGAAACTTGTGTCTTGCCTAGAAAAACCGAATCACTGTATCTTGCAAATGTAGCATGTAAAATATCCCACCATGGCTGTCACATTACCTACACTTGACTGATATTAATCCTCTTATCTCTCTTACTAAGTGACTAGTATGTTTGATCACAGAAACCCTCAGGAGGGATTCTGGTCCAATTTGGCTGTTGTTCAGATTTTTGCACAAATGCAAACCTCAGTTAAATTGCCTTCCACCACCATGTTATCTTAGATATTCTTGTTGTCATCAAACAGTCCAGAGAGAGAATAAAAATTTTAGCCATCCAACTGGAGACCCACTGCATCTCACTTGAGTCTGTTGGAAGTTTGTTGGAAGTCTGCATTTTATTATGTTGTCAAAACTAGTCGCTCAAATTTCTTCAGTATCAGACAGTGATGGTACATATTAGGTTTTCTATCCAGTACTTTTGGGGCCTGTTTATAGGCTTAAATGGTTTACTGAATATGATATTATTGTAGTTGATTAGCCAACCAACTCAAGTTCCCTACACACCGGGGCCGACGCAAATATAGAACACGAAATTACAAAATCCTCGGGAAAGTCCCACCTTCTTCACCTCTGATTGTCTAGAAAAGCTGGAAACGTCATAATAAAATGTCAAAACGTAACAATACATGTGGTATGTTGTATCTGAACAGGTTAGCTCACATGCTAAAGTTACTTAGCACAGATGAAAGTTAAAGAAAGACGTTTAGCAAACTGTTAAAGAACACAAACCATCGTCATGTGAGAAATCCGACGCTATGACTCTCCACAAGTTGTCCTTCAGGTCGTTATCTTTGTAATATTTGTGTCTTTTATCAAAAAGCTCTGTTCTCTGACACGTAAACAATCAGCCGGTCGGCCATGTTGGATATACCAGTGAATCTGACGTCGCAACAACACGCTACCTGATTGGTTAGAAGTGGACACAGAGTATGCGAAACTTTAGAAAAATTGATCGTGATACGAAAAAATAAATGCCGCAATATCGCAGGACGGGAAAACGTCGCTGATGTGAACGCTTGTATTGACAGGATACGGATTCGAAAAAAAATATTGACATCCGAAATAATCGCACAACAAAAAATGGTCCCCGTGTGAAAGGACCTTCACTCACAGATAAATCTATGGAGGGAAAGATGAGAAACAACCCAAAACGAATTATTTTTGGATACACCTGTAGAGCTTCTATGCCAGCCCCCCTCTCAGAAGAAAGTTTAGAGCTATAACTTTGACAAAATGTAAATAAAAATGTAAATCATCTTTTCTCATGCAGTACAACCGCTTCTTCATTTCAGAAATTTTCCAGAAAGCTCTGACATACAGTATATGTATGAGGCTTTCTGCTGATAAGCAGGGACGACCTGGGTTTCATTCTCTCCGCGGTAATCACCTCCCACCGGCGTCATTACAGCACACAGCAGAGACTCTGCACCTCACTATTTTCAGTTTCTGTTTATCTGCGCTCATTCCCTCTCTGCTTCTTTCTGACTGGGCTGCCTGTCTACCTACCTCTCTATCTACCCATCCATCCATCTTCTTTCCATACATGCTCTCCTCGTTCTCCCTCATCGTCTTGCTTCATTCACATCAGCATGCTCAGGTCATGTGCGCTTCTAGCTGCCATTTTTCTCCTCCTTATCCTTCCTGCTCTTTCGTCAATCTTTCCCTTTCTTCCTTTCTCACCAATGTAACACGTTTATCTGCACATCCCAAATATGCTGACAGACATGTTTCTGAAATGGCTTTTCTCTGTGAAAAATCCCACCGGCCAGTCAGATGCTAAGAGTAACTACGGGCCAAAAATCGCCTCCTGGCAGCGAAATGACATCTTTTTGATCACACATCCAGCAAAGTAGCAGCTCCCTGGTAAAATTCTGGGGAATACATGACACCAGAGCATGTAGAGTATTTCCATGTAGCCTAAATGGAGAAGAAGATTGTTCATCCACGGAGCAGAATATCTCACTTCGTGCTACTCCAGGGCCTCTGAGGATCCACAGAGGACAACCTGAGGTCTCTCTTTGCTCTGCTGAGGGAAGAAATGAGTTTTCATAAAACACGAGGATTTCTTTATCTAGATATTTTACAAATTCATTTGTTTGGTTTTTATTTTCCTTATTGTTTGTTTAAGGGGCAATGAAGTATTTGACTAAACAGCCACACAGGGACATTTCTACACTGTTATGTTATAGTCCCTAAAACTTTTCCCTTAACTGTTTGGGCAAATTTGTTCAAATGAAAATGTTTTATATAATGTTATATTCTACCAGGGAAAGTACCATCCTCTCAATTTGCCTCATTGTAATTGTATCCTTCTTCAACAACATAGTATCATCCCACTGAGCACTAGACGGCTATTAGACATCTAGTTTTTTTTTTAGACCTAATTTCAACCGTCTAGATTTTGTGTATTTTGAACAGAATTTACACGTTGCACTTTAACCTGTTATTCGATAACTATTTCAAAAAGCAACTGTGAGTTACATAACTGATCTCTAAGTACTTAACCAAAATAATTATGATAGTCATTGAGCAATAGACTTGGTCTAAATTTAGACGTATAAAAAACTTTCATTTTCAAACCTTTAGTAGCCTGATTCTAGACCATTCATCTAGGCTACATTTAGACGTCTATTAGACCTCTTTTAGACCAGAAAATGCTCAGTAGGATAGTTCCAGTTAGATATGGCATTCATAACATTATGGACAATCTAATGCGACCCAATACAACAGCTCTACCATAGATCCTACTTTTACAAACCGTCTGCTTCACAAAGCTGTTTTGCTCGTGTTTTATTGTGACTCCTCCTCTGAGGATAACTTTCAGATTCAGTTAATTACTTGAGTGATGCACCAGAAAATCTAGTTAAAGATAAGGACTTAAAAGTGCTGACACAGGCTGATCTGGTTAATAGCCAGCTTTGAGACCAAAATTCCTCCCTGCCTCATTATCATTCCCCTCCAGTTTCCCCTGAAAATCCTGGTTTCATGAATGTCTTTCGGAAATGTGGAAGTAGCAAGAGATGAAAATTATTCAAACAGCACCAGGAATTTCAACACCCAAAATTCTATTTGAGATTTGCAAGATTAATCAAACCAGCAAGAACACTTTTCTTTTTCTTCTTTTTTTATGTCATTTAAAAAAAAAATCATTTAAAATATTCTTTCTCATTTATATTTACTGGAAAGGTCCACTCTTGCTGCGTTTCAGTTGTACTTGAGAGTCGGGATTTCCAAGCTCTGAGTTGAAAATTAATCTGGAACACCCCCCTTAAAGTCAGATTCCTGACCCGTAAAGTCGGACAATCCTCACCAACCCAACTTGACGACAACGTCATAATTCAAGATGGCAGCGCAGTGCATCAACAGTAAAAAGTAAGAGTAAAAGCTCTCGTAATGTAAAATTTATTAGCACTTCTGTTTTGTTTTTTGTGAAATTAAATAAGTGGTATATGTTGTACTGCCCAACGTCTAACTGTGAACACGCTGCTATGGTGTTTGTAAGAGTAAAATACTGTTATGTGTTGTGTAGCTAACAACAACTGACAATGTCTAACGACAGCTGGAAATTGTAAACAACAGCTAACAATGGCTAATGTAGACGTCCATCTTGGTTAACTAAAACGCTGGTAACTCAGGTGTGATGTCCTTCCCAGCTCCGATATCCAACTTCTGAGGTAAGTAGAACTCAGCATAAGAGGTCAGTGCAACAAAATAAGAGGATTGTGACCTGCCCTGTCCCTGTTTGCAAAAGTCCCATTGAGTTCGTAGTTGGTTTACATGATGCATGATACATAGAGATATGAGATACAGTAGACTAAGGAACAGATGTGACAGGAGTGGTGCCGATCTCAACAGTCGAGACATAAATTTCTACATTGTGTTTATAGTTTGAAGTGTCTCCTCTGTGCTAATAAAGAGCACTTACAAAATACATCCATCTTTATGACTGAAATAGACGTGTGCTGGTATTTCTCATTTCTAAGATTTACCCAATGTCCTCACTAGAATATCTAACTCTACCCGATCACTCAAATCTAATTCTAACCGTGTCAAATGGCCCTTAGGATGTGGTGCATCTCAAACACGTGGTGACATAATCAGGTTTGGCAAACAGAGATACACATGAATCATCCTCTTCTGTCATTACTGAGGCCCCCTCACTGAAAGCCTCTGACTCAGTTTTCTTTTTTTTTCTTCCCCCTACTGCACTTAGTGTCCCAGCCTGCTGCTGAGAGGGTCTGTGATCAACTTCATGAGGAAGTCCTGCTCAAGGTCAGAGGTCCCCTACCACCAGGCCTTGGACTGGACTTAGATAGTTTGAAGCCACGCCAGAAAAGCCCAGAACCAAAAGAGTTGATTTAGTGAGCCATTTATTTTTTGTATTGCATTGTATTTTCTTGTTTATTTTTGTGATGATGGCAATCTTCTTTTTTTTGAAGACTCATATTATTTCAATTTAAGGTTAAAGTCCTTTTTGACGTTTGGAGAGATTGGTAATGGCGATCATGGTCCTATGGTGTGATCTCTACAAAGTGAAGAGGAAAAAGATTGGCCTCTGATTGGCTAGAAGTGCTGGGCTCCGATTGGTTTTTCCTAATGTCTGTGAAACATCATCGCCTGTCGGGTTCGGGTTAGGGTTAGGATATTCAGAAATGCGATAATGTTCTGTAATGTTCTGTTCCATGTACAGAGCCAACAGCCCGCATTTGGCTTGAGCGTGTGATGGCGTTTCCATCTTTTCTAGCCAATCAGAGGTGAAGGAGGCGGGACTTTCCCCTACCGTCCTTCAAAAAAAAGTAGCGCGTCCCAGACAGCTCCCATTGGTCAATCTCCTGCTCCGCCTCTCCATCCAATCACCTTGCTGTATTCGACACACCCCTCTCCTGTAGTTGCGACTCATCCACTCCCACTCTCCCGGCCCTCCTCGGTGCTCTAAGCGGCTAAAAACACTTCTACCTGCCCCACCACCACCAAAAGTGCTAAGAAAACGCAAGCCAATAGAAGGGAAAGGGCAGAGTCAAAGAGGAAATGTGGCCAAGCGAGGAATTGAACTCGAGTAAACATCGGGTCATCCTTCAAGCGGTGGAAAAGGCTCTGCCAGGATTTGGGCCTGAAAGCAGACACCGAGACAGAAGAGTTTTTATATCGTGTAACATGTTACATAAATAACTCTTATTAGTCTCTGCAATGTCAACACAGTAGCTGTCCAGGCAGCTGCAGGTGGTGCTCGCTAGCAGAGCTGGCGTTTACTGCCGCTAGTCACGAGCAATCGGACATGGTGAATCCTATTTGAAGCTAGCGTAGGATCTTCTGCCGGCCGGTGTCTTGCTCTGCCAGAAGGAGTGTGTCGTGAGGAGGGCGATACAGATTCAGTGGGAGTTATCATGGAGCACAGAGGGGAGGTTTTTGTGTGGGGGGTGGGGGAGTGGGACACTTTTTTCATATCTGCCTCAACGGCTCAGTTTTTTTTTTTACTGCTTCTTAGATCGTCAACCATGCCTTTAAACAACAATTGATTAAAAAAACCTAAACAACAAATCAAGTATGTGTAGACAAAGAAAATGACTGGTAAAATGGAAAATGCTGCACAAATGAGTACAAACTCACATCAGACATTTAACTTCTTATACTCAGACTAACACCAACTTCACTCAGTGGGACTGAAATTGGCCAAAGCTCTCTACACACGCTCCTGTGTTTGTTTGCCGAGCTTTGAGCCAGAAGTTCAATGGCATCGATGTGTTGCTAGGAAGCCAGGAAGTAAATCAAACCTGCACAGATGAAAAAAGGACGTGATCGTTTGATGTTCCGATGGAGATGACCTATGGAGATGACCCAGTGAGACATAAGCCAGTTTACATGTGTGATAAACCATTTTTCTCTTCCACTCCATCCAAGTTACTAAAAGGGGTTTTTAGGACTTTAGATGGCCCACTTGTTTTGCTGAAGTGAAAAACTTTGCTGCTGTCAGCTGTTTTAAAGAAGCAGACTTGTTCTTAAACTCACCGCCCAGCCTCCTCTCTCATTAGCAGCTCTCCCCTGTGTCTGCTAAACCTCCTTGTTGCGAGTATTGATTTTGGAATTGGTTCAACAGCATATCCCCAGTTGAGATCTCATTTGGCTCTATGAACTGCCCAAACAGCAGGCAGTCAGTTCCTCTCCGTCCAAATTTATGGATAAAGGTCTCTGAGAACACCAGTCAGAAAGTGGTCAAAAACTTTTTCCAATGGTTAGTTTATGAAAAATTGAGGAATTTAGACAGAGGAAAAATGACAAAACTGCACACCATTTAACCTGATATGATCACACAAGACTTAAAAAAAATACCTTAAATTGTTTTGAGGTTTACTTATTTAAAAAAATAATAATAATAATCAATACTTTTTCCGCAACTCTTCTATAAAACAAGATAAATCTGCTCTATAAAAAGTAAAACTGTATTCACCACCTTTTTGTTGGCATCTCACATTTTATGCATCACAGGTAGATGTTGTTTAAAGGTAGGGAATTTTAAATGCTACTTCCTCAAATTAACGGCTAATTTAAATAACATCTGAAAAGTAAGTTACGATGT